TGGCGGCCGTTAGCCTATGCGTTTGCCCTTCCCCGGGTGAAAGGTGGTGGGGTAACGGTCTCTGTTGTCATCTTTCTCCGGGAGAAGGTGAGGAAGATCCGTTTCGACGTTTCTGGCCCTGAGCCCAGGTGCTGCTGTGGGTTTCTATGGGGTTTCCGCCGCTTCCGGCCCTCTCAGGCTGATTGAACGACTAATCCAGCGTTCTTTTAGCTGCCTCTTGTCGGTCCTCGCCGATTATCAGTTCACTTTTTTACAGAATAAAATCTACCGCTCAAACGATCTGTTAACGATATTTTGTGGCTTTAAGGGCAGTTTGTTTATTTCATAATAGCATTTCATAGGATCCATGTGACCAGGGGAAAATAAAAAAATAAAGCAGCATAAACATGTAAGTTACACAAAATTACCTATCACTGTTAAGTCTGCTCAACAGCTGTCACTGACATGCAGTGGTTAATTACCAGCCCCCGAAGCACACCTGTTTTGTTTTGTTTTTCAACCGAAGCCTAATGGTTTTTAGCATAGGAGGTGCTATAACGCTACCCAAAAAGGCACCCCTGGCTGATGTATGCAGCCAGTACAGTTGTACTGTACTGTGGACACCAAGTTTTTTCAAGGCAGTTTTAACAGAGCACAGATTTTTTCCCCCTATAACAATCACATATTTATATACATGTCAATACTGGATTAAAAAAAAATAAAGAGTTTAAAATGTGATTTGTACGTATTGGTTGCTTAAGCAAACAGCTAAAAACAGTGAACTACCTAGAGGTATTCCTTTAAAGCTCTTCTATTTAGACACTTCAAAAAAAAAAGAAGTACCAGTGATGTATTCATCTAAACACAGATGTACTGCCCGTGCATATTGCAAGACCGTCTCCATGGGAGGAGAGCGCTGCAAGCGGTAAGGTGCGGGTCACGGAGCAGGACGTGGCCCTCGGAGCAGAAGCTCCCAGGGCAGGCAGGGAGGGAGAGGCTGGAAGGGGAGGAAGCAGCAGCAGGAGCCCGCAGCAGAGCGAACGGGCAGAAACACTCTGTCTGGGGGGAAATGGTATTGGGAAACCCAGTGAGGTGGGCGTGTGTGGGCACAGGAGCGGGGGTGAATGCCAAGACGTTTGGAGAAAGGAGGGACAGAGTGAAGGGAGGATGGAACAGAATAAGGCAAAGAAAGTAAAGGCAGTTAAAAAAAAAAAAAGCAGATGAACAGACTGAAATACCTTGTTTTGCTCACAGCCTAGTTCTGAGTCCATATTCCTCACTGTGCTGAATCAAAGCTGTCTAGACCACAGAGTAGATATTCAGCCTAGTGGACGTGGCAGCTAAAACGCTGCGTTCAAGTTGACGTTTGTCAACTTAAGGCCAAAAAGATAGTAAGAAAACGTGCTGCCTATCTTACCTTCGTTAGATTATCAGCCCAGTTGGGGGAACAGATTTTTTTCAGCGTATTACAATTTGGTAGCATTTTGGGGGGAAAGGAGGGCAAATGAAGTCCTAGAGAAGTATTTAATACGTGATGACAGACACTGACAAATGGATATGTGACAGTGTCTGCAACAATAATACATCTGTGATCACATTCTGCATGTTGGGTACTGTTAACTTGGTGGTATTAAAATCTGTATTTGTAAAAGGTTTTGAAACCTCTGTGGGAGCAGTGAGCAACAGGAGCGATAAAACACCTCTGCTGGATTCTTGCTCTTGCTTTATAATGTAAAATTCTATAGCATTACTATATAGGAAAATAAAACACTTACAGAAAGCAAGTTTGTAAACTTAGATTTTACCAGTAACTGCGTTAAATCACACTGGCCAGAATAACTCTTAACACTCAAAATAGATTTCTCCTCCTTTAAAGATTTCAGTTGGACTGAAGAATCAGTCAAAAGACTTCTTCAATAACTTTGGCGTTTCCAGCTTTAGAAACGAGAAGAATTCCCCAAGATGTCTTCAGCTTCAGTTTACTAGTGACACATGGGGAAAAAAAGGAAATCTCTGGTAAGTCCTGTGGGCAGCCAAATCCTTAGCTGCACTAATTTACCAGTCTCCTAGGGGTACGTTAAATTTGCAATGGGCATGTGTTAAGGCACCACAGCTTTTTTTATGATGCTTCTGCTGGGGCTGTGCAGCCACAGCAGCTGATACACTAACACAGACCTCAGATAAAGTTTGAACGGGAAAAAAAATATTTGATCTTTTTTTTTTTTAAGGACTAATCAGTAAGTCATGAGCAGATCAACCATACAACAAGCAATACTCAGGAATATGTGACTGTAAGAAATACAGAGTGATTATTTTAGAAAAATATCATACAGTTCCTGAGCAACCTGATAGGTACAACTGAAAGTAATCTCTGCAGCTCTTTTTAAAATTCAGTAGAGAATGATTAATAGAGATCTATGAGGGCAGCACAAAGTAACCTAGTTTATCAGCAGTTCCGTATGCCAATATGTCCTTCTTAATGTAATATTTGATTTATTGCAATTTGAGGTCATCACTGCAAGTACAAAGTCAATAATGTAAGAGCAGCTCAGATTAACGTTAAATGTTAGCAGGCATGCAAAGTCCAAAAATGGCAATACATCTAAAGTCTTCCAGACAGGGTTCCTTTCTATTTAAAGTTTTATAATATCCTCATAAATACTTAATAGAAAATAAGGTGAGGATTCAGCCCCTTTTCTCCGCACATTTAACCTTTAATTCATTAATAAATGCAAAGAGTTTGAATTTGAAGCAGGCTTAGCAATTCCATGACAGCTCATCCCAATGAGCTGACCGGCTGCAACTTTTTTCTCAGCTACAAATAGCAGAATTATTTGGCAGTTCACAAGAGTGATAAAACAGGCTGCAATGTTGGACAAGCCTGAACAATGGAAATGGGTGAGTTTTTATTGGTATTTTTGTCAGACTTGCAGTATCCTATTTAACTCTGCTTAGACAGTGTCCAGAAATGAAAACTGTATGCATAAAAAGAACTTATAAAGGAACAAAATAACATAGCAATTGCACAAAGACAAATAGTTATGAAACATGTATGGTACAGATCAAAGTTATATAAATTACTATATAGCTTATGATTTTATATAACTTACATTTTATCTAACTATAATGACTTTATATAACTTGTTTATATAAAAGACTATTAAACATTACTAGGCAGTTGTGCTTTGAATTCAGAGTAGTTAATGAACACCATAATACTCAATAGCAAACTACTGTCCAAAGCTGGTACATTTTCATATTTCTTGGAAATGTAAGCTCTGGGAAATTCAGTCAGTAAAAGTTAGGACGTCAATTTGGAACAGAGAGCTTTCTTGCTATCAGTAAAAAAGTAAGGTTATGTTGCGCAAAGTTTATTTATGGTGAAATGGACTTGTGTATTATATGAAATACTCAAAGGGTAAAGGTTTTGACGTGTTCGTTTAAGAGCGGCTCAGTTTTATTAGGAATAGGCTAAAATGTAGGCCATTTTAGTGTTCACTAATTTACTTCTTTTGTTTAAAATTATTTTCTAAATTTAGCCAGTACAAATATCGCTGTTCTTGCCCAGAGTGGGAGACCCTTGTTTTTTACCATCAATCTGACACTTGGCTCGTGAACATTTACAAAAAATACTTCGGTTGGGAATATAAGTCTGATAAAAATTAAGCCGTACCTTTTACAGGCAAAAGAAATCGCAAAGAACAATCATTTAAATCCCCAAGTATTTATATAAAATCATTCTGTACTTTTCAAAAAACTCTGAATTTTACTACTTTGCTATATAATAGGAAGGTTTCTAGTCTTCGAAGTCTCATACAGAGGTAATGTTATTAATATTTGCATTGTTGGGATCCTTACCGGAAAAATGCATGTGTACCTAAATGCGATTCCTCGTGTAAGGAGATGCAGCTTCTCTTCCTCCGCACTGATACCATCTTGTATCCTTCCATGCTGTGCAGTGAGAAGAAGTTGGTGCACTCCTCTTGTCACTAAGTGAAGGCATAATGTTACTCGCTTCCTCATCAGTGTTGCCAGTTGATCTGCACCTGAACAGGAACGCTCACAGTACTAAAATAGAAAAAAATACCAGAGTGTTTCCAGGATTAAGACCCAAGTTTGAAGCAGAAATGAGCCTTCTTCATATTTTAGGGAATTGGCCCTTTGCAGTAGAGTATAGTGTTTGTGATACTTAAATTTATGTCAAATAATTTGCCCACATTTGGGGCGGAGTCTGTCACTAACAGTGAGAAGAATATCCTCCTTTTCTGAATTTCTCTTGGTTTTTGTTCTTTGCCAGCTGCATGGGACACACTTGATACTTGCAGCAGTGTACATTGAAACCAATGTCTTCAAAGGCAAGAGTCAACCTTTGTCACAGTAAGTCATATTATATAAAACACCTCGTAATACTTGATACTTCTGGGGTCCATAGTTTTCATCGGAGTGCCTTATTCACAGATTTAGGACTTGAAGATACATTCGTCCTTTAGATAACATGTTCTGTGCTTGGTCTGTGTTTGAAATTATTTTTATCCTTGACAGGCAATGGGAATTGTCCTGTTGCTGGTTTAAGCAAAAAGCAGTTTTGTGGGTTTTGACAAAGGGAAAGCAAACCCACCCTTTTACTCCTTAAAAAAATTACATCAGCTACAGAAATAAATAAGCTTGACAGCTGGCATCATTTCACGAGAATCTGAGCCTTTTGTTCTTTTGGGAAAGATCTAAAGAAGCTTTTTCCCTTCTCCACATACTTCACCTAATTTGGCATCATATCAGGATGTATATGGCATTCTGGCTTGCGGAGCACCTTTAGTACCTTAAGGCCTAGAAGGGTCTCAGGTCTAGAAAGACCATTCATTCTTTTTCCTGGCTTTTTCACTAATGGGCTGACATCCAGCTGTCTACAGATAGGATCGGTACATAAGATACACCCCAAAGAACAAACTGTTTTCGTAGGGGGAGGAGATTTCCATTTTCTAAAATTCCTAAAGCCCAAATGCTGACCTGATTGGATGACTCCCTGGAAGTAAAGTTCCTGATAGGCAAAAATGTCCTTGGCTGTCTTAAGAGCAGTCTGTGTCTTCCTTGAATCTATTTTTGTCAGGAAAACTCATAATTTAAGAAGTGTTTAATAAAAATTGCTGACTTCCCCTTAGATAGAAAATGTTTGCATACTAAAACTGTTATGGCTTTATTGTGACTTAAGAAATAGGCATAGTAAACCCCTGTTTCTATATGCATATATGCACTTCAAATGCAAGCTTACGGTGTTTATCCTGTATCTCCAAAATGAGTTTAACTCAAATCACCAGTTGACTGTAATTGAATTTTAATTGATTGTATGTAATTCAGGGTGTGTCTCCAGGAAAGCCTCTGAAATGTACACATTGCTATAGTCAGCCCTCTTAACAGGAAAAAACTTCCTGAGCGTTATATTCTACATCACAATTCACAGGTGTACAGTGTCATCACATGTGCTGCAGTCTTGGAGACAAGTGTTGTAAATCTATTTGGCTCTGTAGATAGTAGAGTTGCACATGATTATACTATTGATTTTATATGCTCTCATGAGCACCTATGTATATTTATAAACAGTTATCGGTAATTAAAAGAGGAGTCTTTATGGGAGCTGTCTGAAGAAAATCTAGCTACCTCTCGCTTTAGAAATGGAACAAAAATGTGCAATAATTCCAGTAAGATGCTTAGAAATGTCTTGTCAGATGATGTAAAGAAAGCCTGCAGCCTACTAGTTAGAAAGCTTTTTTTTTTTTTTTGGAGAGCGAGAGTGCATTGAACTTAAAATTGGGCTTGTTGCTGTCCAGATTTTCACGTGGTAGTTACCCGAAGGATATCTCTGTCATTTTTTTCAGTACAGCAATCCATATATTTTATTTGCCCACCGCATCTGTAGGCTACAGCAGCCTTTTCCAGTGCCCTTGGAGCTCAGTTTCTGTTCCAGTTGCAAACCACTATTTTGCCTTCCTCCATCTTACATCCGTACAAGTCAAGGACTATCTTTTCAGAAGCTGATTAGCCTTTAGTTCCTTTTATTTTAAGATCTTTTAAAATGCTAACAAATGTTCATAACAGTACTCCAAACATTTTTTTCTTCTGAACAGTTTTTTATCTGACTTTATTTCTTACTAATATCCTAGCTTTTCTGATCTGCAGACTGTAGTTGTCATCTCTTACAATTTATTTTATGTGACTTTTATGCTATTAAATATTTGTCCTTAAAGCCCTGTTTCCCATGACATAGTATTTCATCCACATCTCAACTTTGAATCATGAAAATGCAGGGGAAAAATAGCCCTTATGATCCTGTAGAAAAGCTTGGAGGCCTGAAACAAATTTGTCTTTAAGGCTCACACAGCCTAAGACAGTAGAGAGTATTAAAATTCAGTGCGTTTGTATTTCAAACAGTTGTGTGATTTCTAATCTGGCTTGAGGGTTTAGAGATATAATGCATGAATTCTGGTTACTTCACGCTAGTGGTACTGTCTTGATCTTGCTTGGGTTGGGACCATCCTGTTGTAAAGCCGTCCGAGATAAGCAATGGCAAGAAAACTGTGCTGCCTGCAAAGCTCAGCAGCTCCTCCTCTGACTCCTTACAAAGCTTCATAGCCACAACACATACCAAGTGCTTCAGTTAAAACAGGGCTTCAGCTCTGCCAACTGTGTGTCAGCTGCTGGCTACCCAAAGAACTTGGGACATCCAGTAAGCACAGGAGAGGGCAGTATTAGTCCAAGTGAAGGCATGAAGAGGACAAACTATTAACAGAAAAAATAAGCCAAAATGTAATAAAGAGCATTTTTTCCGAGTTTAAAACTATTCTTTCACTGACATCTTTTTTTTTTTTTTTTTTTTTTTTTAAATTTATGGAGTGTTTTAATGTTTTGTTCCAACTGGCTGTAACATGAAACAAGAAATCAAGAACAGAGCAGGTAAGAACCATTACAAGCCACAAGCCTTCCAGCAGGAAAATAATTAGGTTAGTGAACTACATGTTGTCTTTTGAAGAACCTAAAACCAGATGAGACAATATGAACAGATCTGAAACAAAACCAAAAACTCTGTTGTTATTAGTATCTGCTGAGCAGGCCCTAGACTTGAAAACAGAGCTAGAAAAAGTGTGGAAAGTTATGGAGGAATACAGGGGTGTTACTCTAATGCCAAATGGCATTCTTGTCAATACAGTTTTCTTCTTTCTTTAATCCAATTTTATATCAAAGTCAAATGTAGAAGAGAGTCCGCAACAATAAAATACAATTCCTATGATCTCTTCTTAAACAATAGGAGATACAAATACAATATGCTTTGTGGAAGTACAGTGGTTATTTTCATCTTAAATGCATTTATTTCTCGTGTTTAATTTATGGAAAGCTGTATTGTCCAGGTGTTCATAATCTGGTTCATATTTCAACTTAGCAGTATATATATTTGTTGTGCTATTTTCTGAATTCTGTTTTTTCACTGGTTTTCGGACAGATATGCTTATTTGCCCTCTCATTTGTGGACAAGCAATGCTATTAAGAGCTGTGTTAGTACCTATTATTTGAAAAGGAAATTTATTCCGGTTATTATATTGTCACATAACCCAATGCAGGTGCTTATTAAGGTGTTTATTCTAGGAGCATTAAAATATACCAACTGAGACAGTTCTCATTGTGTTAGGTGCCGTGCAAGCAGAATAAGAGACTATTTCAGTGAAATGTGCTCTATCAGGGTACTAGTTAACAATTTGCTGTTTGTATTTTCTCACATAAAAATTTTAAGTATAGCTGATAATACACATGGTAATTCTAAGGGCTAGAAGGAAGGCCAGAATATAAAGCTCTACAGTCTGTATCCACTTATCTCTTGGTGTTTCTGGCTCTGTGCCGTTTGCTCAGCTAGTACGTTTCCCATAAATGTAATCTACACTTGTAAAACTAAATTTAAAATAACTAAGTGCTGACAAGGGAAAAGAATGCAGGATTATTTTCTACATGCTTATGACCTGGAAGAACAACAGGTACCAATGGTAAGTGTAAGGTCCGGTATCTCTTGACCCATCAGAGTTAGAACTTTACATATACTGTTAAAGATTAAAGACTGAAGAGAGATCCATTTTCCCAACATAACAAAAAAGTAGCTAAACTCTAGCCTTGGCAAATGTTGGGAGATCTTGTGTTCAATTTGTGATACCTAGAAAACATTAGGTAATTTATATACAGAATAGAAATGGCCTTAAGTACATCTCTGTATCTCTTTTGTATGTAAAAAAGTTTCCGTTTCTTGTCCTACTTGGCTTACGTGCATTTTAGTGTTGTAATGTTTACATTTGTGCATGAGCAAATAAAATCAATTTTCTACATTAATGTTCGCAGTAAGGACTATTCTGGTATATTGACACCTCTCCCATGCTGCTGTCTCTTGAGATGGCTTTATCTGTTAATTAGTGTCTTTAGTGCTTAAAAGAAGTACCTGCAAGGTGTCTGTGTACAAAAAAACAGTGAAAGGAGCAGTGAACCTCAAACTGTAATCACAGTGCGTATTTTTCACGTAAAAAAATAAGACTTCAGAGGAACGTACTCAAGCCCTTTTGATTTCACTCTCCTTGTGGTAATTAGTCACATCATTCTCTTTTTTTAATTTCAAGCGACAACAGTCAGGTCACTTAAAGCTTGGTCAGGGTGTTAATTTTTTTTTCAGCGAGAGCTTTTTTTTTTTTTTTAAATCTGTGCTGTGTGGATCTGCACCTCTGTACACTGGAATCTCTTGTGCAGTGAATATATTATTCTTGCTATCAGTAGCACAGTCAAGAAGACAGATTTCTGGAGTGTCTTCCACAGAAATTCAGTTGCAATCAATCACATCGTGCAACCCAGCTGACACTAATTTAGCCTACAGAAGCTTTATTACTTTGTTGGCAAGAAGGGAACACATCTAATTGTGCTAATAGCATTGCTTGAGAAATCATGGATAACAAGACAGAAATTCGATTTTAAAGTAGTTGTTCAGTGCTAGACTACAATTAAGGGCAATCAGTATGTTTCATTCTATTTTTTCCCCAAATGTTAAAGCTAAAGTTTAGCGTATTTGGAAACAGCTAGGATTTTTTTTCCCTCATTTGCTGACTGATGACGTTAATGTGCGCTTACGCCACTGAGGTGAATTTAACTGAGTGAAAATTTTCATTGCACAACGTGAAAGACAGGCAGAAAGCCGCGGAACTAATGCTGACAAGCAAGGTGCCCATCTTGCAGACTAACCACTGGCTGTGCCTGGCTGTGCGCAATCCTCGTTTTCAAAAGCCGCTGTCTTTTCAGCGTGTCTTCCAAGAAGGCGCCAAGCAGCGCTCCCACGGCGCCGCCCAGAAGGAGCAGCCCCGCGGCAGCAGCTCCCTGTCGGCCCTGGCGGACGCCCTGTTTCACGC